ATGTAGATTCCAAGGACACACAGTGTCAATGATGGGTTTCAGGATCAGGTCTAAGGGTCCCAGGGTCCACCGTGTGTCCCCTGCCTTGCCCCTCCCTCCAGACTCCAGGTGAGAGGTGATTCTGGAAGAAGGGAATTTGCTCGGGGGTTGGGCAGAGGAGGCCCTCATGGATCACAAACAACTCAGAGACGGCACTGCTGGGCTCACCAACTGCACAGCATCTAAGTGGGCACCTCCTGCCCTTGTATCTGACCCTCGTCCCATGTTCTGAGTTTCTGGGCCTACTCCCTCACCTGCCTTTCCCCACTGAACCGCCACCCCCCGCCATCCCTTCCATTGAGGGCTTGTTGGGCTAAGGGGGGGTGTGGCTTCTGATCCCTCCTCCCCACTGGCTTTCTCCCCTTCCACAGGTGAGCACCCCCTTGGGGTCCATGTGCCCGCCCCAGGCCCAGGCAGAGGTGGGCCCCACCATGACAGAGAAGGCTGAGATGATGTGTGTCCCCAGCCCAGTGCCTGCCCCGCTCCCCAAGCCTGCCTCGCCTGGGGCTTCAAAGGCGGAAGAGGTGGGCCACGGAGGCACCTCATCCCCCAGGCTTCCCCCTGGTGTCCCAGTGATCAGCCTGGGCCATACTAGGCCCCCAGGGGCAGCCATGGCCACTACAGAGCTGAGTGCCCTGCGGCCCCCACTGTTGCAATTCTCCGCCCTGGGAAGTGCCCCAACCCACCTGGCCCTGCATTACCATCCTCACCCCTTCCTCAACAGGTCAGTGGGGGGCTGGGCCTGGGGGCAACCTGGGGCCAGGGTCATTGCCCACAAGGCATTAGTGACCCATGAACCCTTACAGCCTCTACATTGGGCCGGCAGGACCGTTTAGCATCTTCCCTAGCAGCCGGCTGAAGCGGAGACCGAGCCACTGTGAGCTGGAGCTGGCGGAGGGTGAGTGTGGGTTTGCATCTGCATGGGGTCCGCATCTGTTCCACACCTCTGCACAGGGAGAGGTGCTGCCAGCGCACTCAGAAACACACACAGGACAGTCCACACAGGGTTCAGTACTCACGTTACAGCCATGTGCAAAACCACACTCCCACAGCCAGTCCCACACAACCAGTCGTCCAACAAGCCGCAGAGGGTCCTGGCAAACAGCATGGCACCGGGGCCACAAAATGACAGCGCCACTCGCATGCACAGCCACCCGGGACGCAGCCGCATGACAACCACCATCCAAGAGACAGACATGGGACCACAACCACACAGGAGACAGCACACAACCACAGCCACTTAGGACCATGGCCACACAAGAGTCAGCCACACAACCACAGCCATGCATGACACAGCCACATGGCAACAATCACACAACCACAGCCATTTAGACAGACCACAAGTCACACAGCCACCTGAGACAAGGACAGGACCACAATCACAATAAGAGTACCTCTCAGACCCACAAGCACTTCTGGCCACACACAGGGGCACACTCAAAATGAGGATTGTAGGGACCGCTCCTCAGATGGGCAGCCCAAAGGAACATTTCCTTAGGGAGTATCAGCCACTGACATAAAGGTGCAGTCAGAGGCACAGAGGGCTCCGCTGTCTGCAGCCTGGACCGTCCTTGTCTAGATTCTAGATGGCTGAGGGTGGGGGATGGGCGGGGTGGCTAACAAGCAAGGGAGCCACAAGTGGATTCCACACGTGGATCCCTTTGGTGGAGAAAGCCTCAGCTCACCACCTGTGTGGAAGTCCCCACCAGAGTGCTGGGCGCTTGAAGGGAAGGCAGGAAGGGGCGCCCCCCACTCCCCCGATGCTAACCCCACTCCTCCTGTCTGCAGGGCAACAGCCCCAGAAGGTGGCCCGGCGCGTGTTCACCAACAGCCGAGAACGCTGGCGGCAGCAGAACGTGAACGGCGCCTTCGCTGAGCTCAGAAAGCTGCTGCCCACGCACCCGCCCGACCGGAAGCTGAGCAAGAATGAGGTGCTCCGCCTGGCCATGAAGTACATCGGCTTCCTGGTGCGGCTGCTGCGAGACCAGGCGGCTGCTCTGGCAGCAGGCCCCGCCCCGCCCGGGCCCCGCAAACGGCTGGCGCACCGAGGCCCGGACAACGGCGCTCGCCGTGGGCCTTGTCGCCGGGCCGAGGCGGTGGCGCGCCTGCAGCCCGCACCCCCGGCCTGCTCCAACGACAGCCCCGGTGGGGCGGCCCGCCCCATCAAGACGGAACAAGCGGCTGTGAGCCCAGAGGTGCGGTGACCCCGAGGCGTGGCCTCTGAGCCGAAGTGCACTGGGAACTCAGCCCTGGGCTGTCGAGGAAGGGGGCGGACCACGCACTGCGCATACTCTGGAGCCAAGTCCCCCGCAGAGGGACCAGTGAGGACGTACCCTACAGGGGAAAGGGCCGGGGTTGCGGAATGGCGACCATGGCCCTCAGGGACCCTGAAGACCCTTTTATCACCCACTGCCCGCCGGAAGTGGCCTTGCCCGCATCCTCCTCCCGGAGGCGAGGTCCAGGAACCAACATGGCAGAGCGGTCATGGGACCCAAGTGGTGCCTCTTTTTTGCCGACCGGGGGCTCACCGAGAGGTGGGGAGGGGCCGGGGAGCTTTCCTCTTCTCGCCGGCGCCCCCTCCCGGAAACTCAGGGATACAAACACCTCGACGACGACGACGGCGGCGGCCCCAAGCCTGGTGCGCAGAGACCACGCGGGGCCCCACCTCACCCAGCCCAATCGGCCCCGGACAATCGCGTTAGCGAAGGCTCAGCCGCTCTTGCTTTTGTTTTTCTTTATTTCTTTATTTCACATACACATTAGCCATTCAATGGAGAAGCCGGAGAGAGTCAGGCAAAGATGGTATAACAGAAGCGCAGTGACGGGGGTGGGGGGTGGGGCGGGGCGGGGCGGAGAGGGGACAGACGGGCTGGCTGCCTACTTGCATTCCGCTAGGACACTGAAAACCCAGAAAACAAAACAGACAGTAAACTACCCTTGTTTCTTATGTATCTCAGTGCAGAGACGGGGGTGGAGGGCGGAGAGAGGGGGAGACCAGGCTGAAGGAGGAGGAGGGGAGGACAGGGGACGCTAAAGGGAAGCACACCAAATCCATTAGTACTATATATAGAGATACTCGTATATACTGCGTTTCTTAGCCTAAGAAGAAACTTGTTTGACGGGACGGGCGGCCTTTGCAGTCCGCGATGCTGGTGCTGGTCGGGCGCACGGATCTCCCGGGAGGGTCCGAAGCGGGGCTGGCCCAGGCTGGCTTGCGGGGGGGAGGGGGGCGCCCCGAGGGTAGGTGGGTAGGGGGAGCAGAGGCGGGGCTGGGGTGCCCCTCGGGCTCTCGATTGGGGGACGAAAGTTCTCGTGACTTTATTGCTCCTTAATTTTCTCTCGTGTGTGTGTGGGGGGGGGGGGGTCCGTTCAGCACGGTTGGGGTGGGGAAGTGGGTCGTCTGAGCCACCCGGCCCCTCTGGGACCCAAAGCGCGGCGTCCGCTCCGCCAGCACGGGGGTGAGAACAAGGCACTAGGTCGGCCGGCCAGCGCGGGGGGCGGGTGTGTAAGGCAGTCGACAGGGCTGGTTGGGGGTGGGGGGTGGGCTGTGTGGGGGCCGTGTGCGTGCGTGCGTGCGTGCGCAGGCCTGGGCGAATCGACCTGTCAGCTTGGCTGGTCCGGTCCTGGAGCGTCGAGCCTTCCCCGTGCTCCCCGGAGTGTGACGGGGGTAGGGGTGGGGTGGGAGGAATGATGTTGAGTCGGGGGCGCCGGGGCAGGGCGGGAAGGAAACTACCAACTTGCTGAGCGCGCTCCTGATAATGCTGGTGAGGGTCAAGTTGGCGTCTGGCTCAAAGAAGGGCGCTCAGGGCAGAGAGGAAGGGAGGGAGGGGACATTTGTTCGTTGGCATTGACCTCTGCGGGGGAGGGGCCGGAGACCCCCGCCACGCCCCAGCGCCCGGATGAGGACGGGGCGAGGAGGGGGCGCCGGCCCGGGGAGGGGACGCCCGGGGAGACCCGCGGCCAGAGCAGCCCCGCCGCTGGGCGCACGCCGCTGTCCCGTTCCGTTAAACTCAACAAGAAAGGGATATGCGTGTTCCTAACAAGTGCAGGATATTTAATTGATCATAAACTTATGTATAATAGTTTGTGGGTTTTTAAAAACGTACTTTATAATGTAAGAAGCACCAGGGTTTTTATGTTGAATTATCTTAAAAATAATTTTCTCTCGTCCTTTTCCTTTTAGATCTTGTGTTGATTTTTTTAAAATGTTCAGGTATTTTTTTTAAACTCTAAAATGTGAACGTTTCCTTCAGCCCTCCCACCGAAACTGAGAACGAACGACGAAACAAATAAAAACCCCAGATCATCCTTGTCAACGCAGGAAAACGACTTAAAAAAAAACTGAAAACGAACAAAAAAAAAAAAAAAAAAGGAAAAAAACACTCAGCTTTCGTTATCCCCGCGAAGGGCGGGGCAGGCCCGGTTCTTTTAGCGTCCCCAGAGCCGCGAGGACATTACAACAAAAATAGAATTTTTCTTAACAATCTCTTAACATACAAAGATAGGAAAACTCTCTGATGCATTGCACTTGGTTCAATGAAAAAAAAAAGTTCATTTCCCCCATATATATTTTTTTTTGTTTTTTTTTTTTCTCTTCTAACACGTCCCCACATCTCCTGTGGCCCTCGTCGCCTCTCGCCTGACCCTCACAGCGACACTTGGGAACGGAGCGGCCCCCAGCCCCCGCCTGCCCCGGCAGCCCCGCCGGGCGCGCTCTGTCCCGGCCCAGCTGGCCTGCAGCTTCCGACCTCGCCGGGGCGGGCGCCCCGCAGACCCCGGCTCCCGCCGCGCCCGCGGCCCCGATTGTCTTCGAGGGAAAGGGCACGTGCGGCCGGGCAGGGGGTCCCTTCCGCTCCCCTCTCAGCTCTGACCCTGTTTAGCCAACCAAACTGAAAAATCATTGCACTTTGACCGCGCGTCACGCCCGGCCCACCCGGCCCCCCACCCCCGCCCTACTCCCCATGCCCCCCCCAGGCTCCCGCGGGATCCCTTGTCCCCAACTTCTCAGCCTCCGTCCTCCCCAGGGCTGTAAGCGGATGGGGGAGGGCCTTCGTTCAACTTCCAACAAAAGCTACCCCGAGGGCCAGCTACCTTGCGGCATCCCGCTGGGGAGGAGGCGCCACCAGCTGGCACCCGCGGCCCCAGGTGAGGGCCCTCTTCTCCTCCCCTCCTTCCTCTCGGCCTGCTCCGCGGCAGCCTCACACACTAGATTCACAATAAATAAAACCCATAACCCACCCCTGCGGTGCAATGTTGGGGTTGACTGACTTTCGGAGGATCCTGACCTGTGCTTTGTGTTTTCATACAGTTAAGAAAGAGAGAAAGAGAGAGAGAGGCACAAGGACTTAGAAGGGGTCCCAGGAGGGTAGATGCAGGGAGGAGGGAGTAAGGCACAGAAAGACAAGCCAGAGGGGCCAAGTCACACCCTGGATCTAGGCTGGGCGTGCTCCTGCTCCCCTCCCTCCCAGGGGGGCTTCTGAAGACCCTCTGGACAGGCCCCCCCCAATCTTCCCTTGGGGGAGGGGGGGCTTCAGTGGAGGGGGGAGCTACTTCCTGTGGTGTGTAACCAAATTGTTCCCAAGTTGCTCAACTGGAGGAGGAGTTCCCAATTGCAACAGCAGAAGACCCGAACAATTAATGCCCCACCCCGAAATAAAGAGTAAAGACATTACAGCTGAAATCCAGAGAAGTGGCCACGGGGGTGGTGTGGTGGGGAAAGTTGGGGGGGGTACAGAGAAAGCTCCAAAACACATTTGAAAAAGGACAACACCCAACACCCTCCAAAGGAACTGAAAGTGGGCCAGCAGGACGCCTACCTAGCGCAGGTGGCGGCTCTAGCCGAGGGCAGTGGCGGCGGCTGCCCTTCCTCCTCGCGCGGCTCCAGGTCCCCTTCGCCTCCACTCTCCGGCCCGACCACAGCAGGGCTGTCTGCGTGAGGGGCAGGGGCAGGGACCGATGGGGTGGCACAAGGGCACCTGCATGCGGGCTGGGGTGTGGGGGTGACCTGGGGCCCATCTCCCCTCACTTGGGCCGTGGCAGGAGCAACCTTCCCGGCCTGCCTGTGGAGGGAGGGAAGAGGGGCCTGTCCCGTGCTGGGACCGGACCTTTGAGAGCATTCTGACTTTTTCCTATGGACTGTACAGAGGGGTCCGGGGTCCAGGGGAACTACCCCTACGGCTCAGGGTGGGGTGACAGAACACCCCCCATTCCGGGAGCATGAAACCAGCTCCAGGGGATGCCCCCTGCCCACAGGGGGGTGGGGCTTCTAGCCCAAGGGTGGGGCAGGGAGATTCGGAGGCCACCCTGCCTCACCCGGTCCAGAGCAGATGGCGGAAGAAGCCAGAGGCAAGGCAGTGAGGGAAGGCAGGGCAGGGTCTGGAGGGGAGTCCCCTCTGGATCTGCACCCTTCATCTTTACAAGCTAGTCCTCTGATCTCCCTAGTGAAGCTCTGGCCCCAGCCGAGGGTGGGGTTCTCCTAGGAAGGGCAAGGGTGGGGGACAGGCCCCTTCAGAACGGTGCTGGTTGCTTTGTTTGGGGATTTCGTTCCTTTCCCCAGAAGGCCAGGACGGGATGGGGGAGGAAGGAAGTTCTGCTGCATCCTTTCTTTCTTTCTGTCCTCTGCTTCGCAGAGTCCGTTTTGCATGTTCCTTTCTGCTTGGCTGCTGGTGCACAGCTCTACTGAGACCTCTTCCGAGGGCTCTCAGAGAACTGGGCTGCTTCGGGGGGGCCTGCAGGGGTCCCTGGGCTGGAGGAGAGAAGGGCTGAGTGGCTGACGACGTCTAATTTTTGCTTTTCGGTGGGGCTGGGCTGGGGGATTTTTTTCCACGTCTCAAAATTTCTTCTCCCCCCGTTTGAGGAACCTCTTCTTTTCATTTTGTCATTTCTTTTGTCGATCTTATCAGAGGAACCAGGACTGAAGCGGGAGAAAGAAGAGGTCATGTTGAGGACAGCAGGCGCAGGTCCCCTCTCAGTCCCACCTGGCCCTGTGACTGCAGGTGGTGCCCAAGGCCCCTGCAGGGTCCAGCTCCAGCAGAGCCAAGGACACCGACACTCCACCCAGAGGTACATCCCCATTTGTCGTCCCTCCTATGGGAATCCTGTCCCCCGAGAGACTCTGTCCCCCAGTGCCAGTGTCCAGCTGGCCTTCCCGTGGGCACCATGCCCAGCTGGTAGGACCCCTGTGGCTGGCACTGGCACAAACACAGACCTGGGATCTGGCCATGTTTCCAATTGTTTAGGTTTTTGTGTGGGTCCTGGAGGGTGGGGAGGATGCCAGGCTGGAGCTTTTGTCCCTAGAGGGTTTGGGGACTGGGGTGGGGGTGGCCCAGCTTCTTGCTGAGTTTTCTTTCTGTCTCTTTGGACTAAAAGCAAAAATTCCCATCTGTACACCCCAGCCAAGGTCCCACAGGCTGAAAGGCTGGCAAGAGGGGGACCCACATGGCTTCAGCGCCCAGCAGTGCCAGTGCTGGGGGAGGAGCCCAGAAGACACACGCCTGCCCCTCCATCCTTTACCCTTGAGGCATCGATTTGCAACCGGTGTCCTGCAAGCCTTTTTAAAACATGCAATACCTGACTAGTTAGGGGCAATGACCTCTTTTCCCTTAGATTATCAAATTAAAAAAAGAATTACAATAGCCAACACAATAGCCATCCAGTGTGAATGAGTCAAAATTATACCTGTTTTTGTCACATTGGCAAAAAAATTTTTTTTGGTGTGCCGCAGAATTAGTAATTATTTAGTAATTAGTTTATGTGTGCTACGAGATGGAAAAGGTTGAAAATTGCTGCCTTAAAGCAAGAGAGCTGGGGAAGGGCCTCAGGCCCCCTCGGGCAGAAGTCGCTTCCCTCAGGGTGACAGCAGAGGGCGCCGCCTTCCCACAAACAGGTCTCCGTAGCCAGGAGCACAAAACTACCCAGGGTAGACACACCCTCCTCCCTCCCCATCTTGGGCTGCCTGGCAACGTCCTTCACCTAAGGCTCTGGCCCCACCTTGTGGCCAAAGGGTGGGGTGTAGGGCGGTCTCCTCCATGGTCTACAGTGCCCAGGTATGCATGGTGGTATCCTTGGGGCAAAATGGGGGTTCCTGAAAATGTAGAGGGCCCTTCCCAAGCTCTGGGTCACAGGCTGGGATCTTCAGGAGCCAAGCAGAACTACCCAGAGAGCGCACACCAGGACCTGACTCATTCTACCCTGTTCCTACCCTGCCCAGAAGCCAGGAAAAGAGAGGGTGGCTGACCTGCCCAAGGCCACACAGCCCGTGGCTGTGCCGGGGACTCACATGCGGGGGGCAGTTCAGAGTTGAGGCTCCCAGCTGCTACACCTGGTGTGCTCACCCGGCCTAGGGCCATGCCTAACACGTCAAGGTAAGGGCCTGGGGCGGCTACACCAGCCAACTTTTCAAAAGAAGGCAAAAATCCAGACAGAATTTCATGTGAAAATTTCCAACACTATTTAAAACACTTGTTTTGGTCACATGGATTATGCCTGCAGGCCAGACCTGCCCCCCAGGCCCTGGTGTGGGACTGCAAGCTGTTGCCGACTTGGAGGCGGAGACCTCGACTTTTACAGTTAGAAAAGGCTTCAGAGCTCACCTAGAACTCTCTGTGACAACGGAAATGTTCTCTGCGCTATCGCTAGTCACACATGGCTTCTAAGCACTTGAAATGTGACTACCGTAACGGGAAGACTAAATTTTTCTCTAGTTATTTAATTTAAACAGCCACATGTGGCCAGTGGCTATCTTACTGGATGGTGCAGCCGGAGGACATTTGAAAACGTGGGGGTTGAGGCTTCACAGTGACTGGGGCGCTACTCGCGTTGACTGGGTAGGCAGATGCTCAACTTCCCGCCATGTGCTGGACAACGTGCACAGAGGGGGCCTGCCCAGGGTCTGACCCTATAAACTGACTACAAGCCAAATGGGAGGCTCATGGGAGGGCAGGGGGCTGGCAAGGCAGGGGGCAACCCAGGCCTGAGGCGTCCCCAATGTGCCAGTGTGGGCAGGCTGGGAGGGTGGGTCAGCAGCCAGCTCCTGGGCTTCCTGTCCTGGCCCTTGGAGGTAGAGAATGCCTGGGTGAGCCGTCACCCCAACATCCAGCTGTCCCCTCCCGCCCCCCGCATCACTGCTCTCTAGGACCCCCTTCCCAAGCAGAGGCTATGCTGGAACCCTACTCCACTGTTCTAGCTGTGAGCCTGCCCTTCCCCCTCCCTGTGAGGGAAAAGGGGCCTGGGGACAACAAGGACATGCAAGTCCCGCTTGGTCCCTCTGCCCTTGGCAGACCAAGCCGAAGCCCTAGGCTGGCTCCTTCAGGGTCTCCTGAGCTATACTGCAGCGGGACAACCCCAGTGCTCAGGCTTGGGGGACCCCCTCAGAGGAGGACGGCTCCAGTTCCAGGCCTGGAGTTAGGGACAAAGGCGGCTCCAACAGGGTCCCCAGTACCTCCCCACCACCGGTCCCAGGAACAGGGATCTGCTGCCAAGCACGGAGTGGCTTTTCTGCTCACCCCTCCCTGCTTCCTGAGCCAGGTCCAAAATTGATTAAAACTAAGTAAAAAGCGCTGCCCAGGGAATGACAAAATTGCAAAAATTCTCTTTTCTTCCCTCATTCTATTGTTCTCTCTCCATCTGGTGCTCTAGAGATCAGCTAAAGTCACTGGTTACTGTGGAAACCGACCCCCACTGGACCTCTGGCGCCCACCCGCTGCAGCCTGCCTGCCCCCAGGCCCAAGGGCTCCTGGCTAGGCTTGTCCAGCTCTGGTCCCTCCCCCCCACCGCTGTACACACCTGCCTGCTCCCGGCCAAGGCCCAGGCCCCTTTCAGGAACAACTGGAAAGCAAACTGTTTCCCAAACTTGCCTCCAACTCTGACTTGGCCCCAACGTCCAAGCAAAGTGAGCAGAGAAAGTGCAGAAGGGAAAGCACATGGAGGCAGAAATGGGGAGGGCTCGTGGCTGCGTCCCTGAGAGCAAGAGAGCACGGAGAGCAAGCAGGGAAACAGCCAGAACTGCAGGCAGCCGGCTAGCGGCAGGAGGGAGGGCGGGAGAGGGCGGGAGCGCTGGAGCCCTGCAGCCCGGTGCCAGCCCAGAGCTGGGAGGGGAGGCCCGCCAGAGGTCCCTTCCTCTGGCACCCCCTCCCGCCCTCTGCCAGCAGGGCTCTCCCGGGCTCCCTGGCACAGAGAGGAGGGGGCTGGCTCCAGCCCCTGCTCGGAGCCATTGTTTTTCTTCTCAACACCCCCAAGTTCAAGTTCATCTGGGTGTTACATCATGTCTGGTTGCTCTTGGAAACCAGACGGGTCAGACGTGACTCTGGGGAAAGGGGGTGGGAAGCTGGAGGGGGCTGAAGTTCCCCTCCCCTCCCCTCCCCTCCTTGCCACCAGGGAGCTCTGAAGTTTGCAGTTTGACAAAGTTTTTTGCTTTTTTTTTTTTTTTTTTTTTTTGAGGGAGGGAAAGGAAAAGGGAAAAAACAAAACCTCAAACCACACATACAAAACTTCTATCCACCAACTTTCTCTGGACTCAGGCCTCAGGGCAGAGAGGGAGCAGGAGCTGAAAGAGGTGGCCCAGGGCTCCGGGCCAAGGTGGATTTCCCCAGGGCTGCAGCCACCAAGGCCCTGGGCTCACAGGGCAGTGTTTTATAAAAAGAAGTTCCACACTGTAAAGGCTGCCTCTGCCCTGCTCCCGAGGAGGGTGCTCCCTGAGTCCATCCCAAGGGCCCTGAGCTCTGGAGGCTATTCCCAGCCCCTTGGGGACAGGCATGGGAAAGGGGGGTCACGTGTGCATGTATATAGATGCCTGTGCAAAGCAGTGTCCAGGAGGACCGCTGCAGTTGGTTGGGTGTCTCCTTGTGAGAACTGGGGGCAGATGGGGACAGAATTGGAGGCTCCAGAAGCTTGGTCACCCTTCTAATAGGATTTATGGGAAGTTGGGAGAGGGGCTTCCAGGGGGGCAATGGGACCTGCCCTGCCCTTGGTGCCCAAATCTCTGGGCATGTGGCCCACCGGGCTAGCTCTGTCCCTCCTCCACCTTCTGCCCAGCCACCCAGGGCCGGGAAAGAAGAGAGAGCTGGGGACCAGGCCTCCCAGCAGAGCGGGAGGACAGCAACAAGGCAGACGCTGTCCTCCTCCTGACTGGGCTTCCGGCTTCCACCTTTGCTTCTACCAGGCCTGGCCTAGAACACCCCTAGCCTCAGGTCCTTGGCCACCTTCCCCAGGGCGGGGAGGCTGTCAGAGCTAATTATCCAATTAGCCGATTAACCAGGGGCCCTGGGGCTGCCTGGGGAGGCAGGTTCAGCGGGGTGTGCAAACGCCTGGGTCCTCCAGCCCTGCCCCAGCCCCTTCTCCCGCATTAACCCCGAAGAGCTTGGCCTCCTCTCTGACCCCAAGGTGCCCGCCCCCCGTGCTCGCCGTCACACTCCTACCTGAGACTGCTGTGGGATGTTCAGAAAGTTGCCGTCCCGGGGTCCGATGCTGACAAACCGGTTGGCAGAGGAGGCGCCTGTCGTTGCGAATGCTGTGGGGAGCAGGAGAGAGGAAAAACCCCCATGAGGCCTTGGGGCCCACCTCGGCACTGCCCCTTGGGGCTGCTGAGAGAGGGAGACACTGGGTTAGACCGTGCTGCCCAGGTTTAGGCTGGCAGTGGGAAGGACAGTCTGGAGGGGCCCCTTCATCCATCACTCACCAGGAACACGCACATCCCCCACCCCCAGCCGTCTGCTTCAGCCGGGCGTCCTCTTTCCTGGCCAGGGGTGAGGGAGGGGCCCTGGAGGCTTCAGTCGAGGTCCCACAGCCCCGGTACTCCCCCCTAACCAGACACTGGGCAGGCTGGGGATGGTCCTCCTCCCACAGCGCCCCAAGGTAGTGCCCTTGCCTTCCCACTGGCCCTCTCGGGTCTGGAGAGAAGGGAGGCTGGGAGGGTGGCAGCTCTGGGGGGCTGGCCCCCCTGTACTTTGGGGAAGACCATCTCAGCCGGGCCACCTCTCCAACCAGGGTAGCTAGTTGGGTGCTGCCCATTTACCACCCTGGGCAGTGCCAAGCACTGGGCCGCTGGTTTGGGGAACTTGAAGGGGCCTAAGGGAGGGCAGGGCCGGATGGGATGGGGTTGGAGAGGGGTGTAGGCATTGGCTGCTCGCCAGGGCCCAGGGGTGACAAACCTCAGGCCCAGCAGACATTCTCTCCCTCTGAGGGATGAGCCAGGTCCTAAGGTCCTGTGGTGCCCAGGGCCCGCAATAGGCCAAGGTGCACGAGGAGGAGGCTGGGGGGCCTGGCAGAGCCCCGGGGCTTGAGTGCTTGGGGCAACTGAGGGGCAAGTGGGTCAAATAGCGTCGAGCTGAGCTCAGCAAGCTTCTCGGGGAGAGAATGAGCCCCGCACCTCCAGGAAGGAGCATGCCCCCAGAGGGGATGTCATGGGTCACAGGCTGCCTGGGAGCCTGCCACCCCCTGCCCTGGACCGGATCCACCCCAGGGACCCCATGCTCACCAGTTTCAGTCCAGAAGTGCCACCCTGTAGCCTGGTCCCCCTCTCCCACCCTGCCCACCTCCAATGACCATGACCATGATGTGATGTCTTATGGCAGATGTAGATGGGAAGGTGGCATGGAAAGGACGGAGCGGGGGAAAGAACTCAAACGGAGAGAGAGAAGGCGAGACAGAGAGCGCAAGACGGAGAAAAGTGGTGAGATGGGCCCCCGCCCCCGCGGTCCCGGACGTCCTGGCCCGCGGCCTGCCGGCCCCCAGAGCACCGGAAGCACTGCCCATGCCCTGCCCGAAGACGGCACGCGGCCCACCCTCCGCCTCTCCTGTCCCTCACGTCGGGTCTACCTTGGGCCTCCCAACTCAGATTTTTTTCCTTCCCTTGGACAAAAGTTGTCATTGGTTTAAAAAAAAAAAAAGAGAGAGAGAGAGAAAGAGATGAAGTAAGCCAAGGTCCAGAGCCCTCCCTCGTCCTTGGAACATCCAACCTGGGGAAGGAATTGAGGGAGGGGAGAGGGAGGGGAGGAAAAAAAAAAAAGAGGAACAACGAGAAACCAAATGTGAGACTGAAGGGGAGGGGTCAGAGGCTGGCCTGCTGCACCTTTCGAGGCCTGAATGAAGGGGAGGGGGCAAGGCAAAAAGGGGATGGTGGTGGCGTCGCCTTGTGGTCACATTTAATTTTCTTGGTGTGGGGGGCACGACAAAACAACAACAAAAAAAAAATCAAAAAAAAAAAAAGACCGATAAACAAAAAAAAAAAACAAAAACAGCAATCAGGCATGAAGATGACATGGCTGTGCCTCCCTGTCCCTTCCCACCCTGGCCAGCACCCTGGCCTGCGCCCCACTGTGCTCCCCCTCCCGCCCACCAGGGGCCTGGGCCAGGGGCCCGGGCTGGGAGCAGCGGGCGGGCAGGGGGGCTAGTGGTGTGCTGGCTGGTGCGACTGAGGCCCGGGTGGCTGTGTTTGGGGGGTTCAGCTTTGCTCTCATCCGGGCAGAAGGCTCCGTGGTGCTCTGGGTTGGGGAGGATTTGGTGAAGGGGAGGGTGTGGGGGGGCTTTTCTTTTTGCAGTGGAGACTGTTTGGATGAGCCGGGACACTGGGCGTTGTGGTTTCGGTTTCATCGTCCACTTACAAGGTGATGGAGGAGTCAAGGCGGCGCCGTCTGGGGCAGTGCTGGTGGATTTGGAATCAGGCATAGGAAGGGGCACAGGTCTGGCCACTGGAGGCGGCGGCGGTAGCAAAAATGACCCCGGGACTTTGCCCTGGCCGCTACCGTTGGGCTGCGAACAACATAAATAGAGTGACGCATGAAGGCACATCACACACAGACACACGCTCCCCTGCGCGGCCACGCCAGCTCGCTCCTGAGAGCGGGCGCTCCCGGCGGAAGGTGCAGAATAGGGTCCTCTCTTCCAGGGGGCATGGGGTGGGTGAGGGTGGGAGGCCTCAATTTGGTCTCTCAGGTGTTTCTCTCTCTTTTTTTTTTTTTTTTTTTTTTTTTTTTTGTGGTCCTCCTTTGAGGTTGTGGGAGGAGGAAGGGGAGTATCCGACGGGTGGTTTGTTACTTCTTAGGGAATATGTTTTAGGTACCAAAACATGCCACCTAGCCACAGAGCAGCTACACCCAGAACTCGTATACTCCTTCTCTTACAGCAGGATAGATGCATCAGCTCACCCCTCCCCCATGTCCCCCCAAAACACACACGTGCCCCCCTCTGCAGGCCCCTGGGGTAGGGCCGGCTGACCCAAGGGAGGACTGCCATCCTCCACCCCACGTCACGGCCTGGGGGACACGCTGGGTGCCGGGGGCTTGCCCTCAGCTCCAGCAGCCTGAGGGCGGTGGAGTGCTGGTCTATTTGCTATACAAGAGGCTGGGAGGAAAATCTATTTGCTGCCACTCCAGTTCCCACGAGGTTCTTCGAAACGACTTCCTTGTACGATGCCCTCAGAAGCCCAGATGCCGGGTCACCAGATCCACTCCGTGTCCTTTATTCCCTCTTGTGCCTCAAACTCCTGTCCGTGCCCTTGCGTGCGTCAGCCTTTGGGCTTCCAGGGACATAGGCACTGCAAGCAAGGCAAAGGTCCCGGCCCCTCGCAGGCCTGATTTCCCTGGAGGGACCTCCCTGGAGTTCTGGGCATGTACCTCCCCTTGCTCTGGGTAGTGTCTCGAGGACCACCAGCAGCCCGAACTCAGGGGGGCTGCGCTGAGCTCTGTGTCCTAAACTGGCCCCTCTCTCATGGCACAAAGCTCTGCCTTCCCAGCCAGCCAGGTTCTAAAAGTTGGGAGCTTCCTGTGCTCCTTCTCCTCCTGATAGGCAACCCCCGTGGAGCCCAACCCACCAATGTCTCCAGGGGGCCCATCTTTCTGTCATCACTGGCTCTGCCTAGACCAGGACGATGAGACTCCCAAGGGGCCTCCCTTAAGCTGACAGGGTGCTCCTCAGCTCAGCGCCCTCGGTGCCCAGCTCTGTACCGGACGCTTTACTCACGTTGTGTCCAGTCTGACAACGAACGTGTGAGGCAGCAATTCTTGCTTGGGGGCCGTTCTGCTCCCCAGGGGCACTGCCATGTCTGGGAACATTCTAGTTAGCACAATTTCTGGGGGGGTGCAACTAGCAGCTAGTGGGCAGAGGCAGAGAATGCTCCCCAACAGCCTACAATGCCCAGGACGGCCCCCAGCACACAGGCTCATCTGTGCCCATGTTGCCAGCACTGCAAGTGGGAGACCCTGCTGCGCTCCCCTGGCCACAGCTGAGGAAGCAGGCTCTGTGCAGCCAAGTGGCTTATCCAGAGTGGCCAGGCGCTACCTGGCAAGGCCTGAAGTTCACACCGAGGTCCGTCTGACTCCAGGGGTCCTGTGGATTCTCTCCAGCAGGCTCAACAACCCTCTTCTCCAAATCCAAAGGCGCTCAGACTTGTCCTGTCCCGTGAAACCTTCCATAGCTCTGACTGCATCTGATATGAACTAGAATCTCCCCAATTCGGCATCCAGGCGCCCATGGTGGAGACCAGGTGGGGGCTCCCAGCACTCATGCCCTTATACCCCCTCCCCGCAAGTACTTCCCACAGCAAACTGACTGCGGCTTCCAGACACAGCTGACACAGCCTGAGCAGTTGGGCCACACGCTCGCTCACTGCAGAACCCTCCGCCTAGAATGCCTTTTCCTATATCCTTCAAGCCGGCCCACAAAACACTGTCCCTGACGCGGGGACCAGCCAAACTCCCTGAACCACCATCCATCCCTCTCTGCCCTGTTCTTCCAGGAAGCTCTTGACCTCCACTGGAGCCTGGAAAGCAGACTGCCCCCCAGGCCCCCCAGCGAGCCACGGAAGGCCACCTCTGTGTGGCTCCAGCCCGCAGCACTCAAGTCCCACTGAGTTGAATCAACTACTCCATCCTCTCGCACTTTAAAACCACAGAGCCCCACGGCTGACCCGTGCAGACCACGCCCTTCTGAACCCTGGCTGTTCCGCCATCATCCTTCACCTCTCATGACCAGCTTAGGCCCGACACTGTCCCTCCGAATGGTTCCTCGGACTTGATTCTTCTTGCCCACTCAGAGGCCCCTGACAAAAAGCAAGTGGCGGCTGCTAGTCCCCGTCTGTGCCCTTTATGCCAAGTGTCATTTCAGAAACAGTCCCTTCGGTGCCAGGCATGGGCCAGAGGGGTTTCCAGCTCTGCAGGGTTGATGCCGAGATACGAGCAGCAACTGCCTTCCCTCCTTTCCACGGCCTAACTGGTTCCTATCTTGTTTCTCCATCAGGGCAGGAAGCTCCGCACACCACGGCCTCCCTCCTCTTCTCCCGGCCATCCTGAGCCTGGGCCCCTGGAAGCTGAGATGCGGGGACTTTCCCGGCGGCCCTGGCTCCCAGGGCCGCCTCTACCTCCTAGTCTGCAGAGCCAGTCTGCACCCAGGAGGATTTAAATCACTAATCCCGCCCGATAATGCTAATCCCAGCTTGATATGGCTGGACATCAAAACCTGCTGTTTTACAACATTTGGTTTCTAGAAGCAACTTCCAACCGGGCTAGAGTGTCTCTGCTCTGGTTGAGTCATAAGATGAGGTTTTTAAAATCTCAAGGTGTTGTGACTTTGCAGCACCTTAAACCTCCTGAGTTAAGAGCTAGAAGTGCATGCTGGTCACAGATGAAGACGAGGACCGGGCAGTGGAGGCTGAGCTGGAACCAGGCCTCCTGCTGCCCGCCGAGCCCTGCAACATTTCCACTGCATTCGTTTGGTGGTCTCTTCTCTCTGCCAGAAATACGGCCAACGTCCTCTTTCTCTTCAGCTCCTCTGAGTGGTGCTTCCATTTGGCCTTGGCCTTTACTGATGTAGTTCTTCTTAATTAGGACCTTATACTAGGGTCCGAAGATAAGCCACAGGGGGCACGTGGGAACCCTTCTGCGAATCATCTGTAAAACTTTCGTACGCACGTATTTTTCTGTAAAGATGCTCTGTAACTTCAAACTGTCCTGGAAGTTAGGAATTGACCCCCCTAGGCTCTGGATGAGCGGTTCTCAAAGTGGTCCCCTGTCCAGAAGCCACAGCAGCATCTGGGAATTTGGGGAGAAAGACAGATTCTCAGGCCCGCCCCAGGCCTGCTGACTCAGAATCAGGCGAGGCCTCGCCGCCTGTGTGTTTGCAAGCTCCCGGGTGACCCTGCATGCTAACCACTGGTCTGAAGGTGGCCACGGAGCAAGTGCGGCCTGGGGTGGGCCACCCTCTGCCGCCAAGTCAGCTGTGGAGCCGGGGCCCCTGCCCCCCGCCCCCCCGCCACTTCCACAGCCTAGTGCTGCCTCTAGCCTCTGCCCAGAAGCTGGGCCTGCTGGAGTGGGCTCACCGTAGACACCCCCTCCTCTCTTGGGCACAATAGGCTACAAGAAGAAACCCAGAGAGGCCGCTCCCCAGCCAAGCTAGCCTCCCTGCCTAACCAGGGTAGCTGTTCTCCCCTGCAGCGTTTTGTCCACGGTCTGTTTGGAACAAGCACCTGTGTGGAGGAGAGAACCTTCAAGGCCAAGTGAGACTCTAACCTTGAAAAGTCAAGTCAAGGGACAGTGTCAGGACCTAGCCGTCAGGGAGCCCAGGGGACTGACTGGCTCTCTGGACGAAGCTGATTCCCCAGGTTGGTATCACTGATTTCAAACCCCAGCCGCCTCTGCGGGTGAGAAGGCAGGCAAGGCAGGGTTCCAGGCCTCTCTGATCCACACTGCAGAAGTCCCAAGGGGCCTGGGCCATGGGCTGGCACTTCCCACAGACTCTGCCGGCATCTCTGGAGAAAGTGCAGTAGCTGTCGGGGGTCACATCCACTTCCCTGAAGGCCCCTAAAAGCGAACAGAGCTTGTCCAGAGAGGTGGGCAAGGCTCTGAGTGTGCTAAGGAGCTGCAAAGTCAGCAAAGAAACCCTTGATGGGCACAGAGGGGAAGGAGCTGGAAAGAAGGAGGGAGAGCAGGAGGGAGGGAGGGAGAGGGAGTGAGGGAGCCCCGTCCCCCCATCAATAACACACCAGCACCCGGCCAACGCCCGCGCTGTCCGGGGCACCTGCAGGCTGCCCGTCGCTCTCCCTGGGTGTGGTCTGGCATGGGTTTCGGATTTGCTTCCCCCACTGTGGCCCTCTGAGCGACCTCCCCACCCAACCTCTGGATGGGCTAGGAGACAGGAGCTGGACCTTTTCGCAAGGCAGCACACTGCTGGGGCTCCAGAACCTTTCCAAAGGTCTAGAGACCACTGTTCCCAACCCAGAGTGGTCCCCCAGGGACTAAGTGAGGACACCTTCCCACTGAAGGGTTGTCCCTGGCCCACCAATGCCTGAGCTAATTCCTTTGCTAAGCCACCCCGCATTTCTGCCTGTGAGTGACCCGGGCTCTAGGGCTCACTGACAAAGAAGGGCGGTGCCCGCAGCCCCTTCCCCTGCAGAGCGTGTGGGAAACCAGTCTCTCCCCGGTTAAGGAGCAGCGCTGCAATACAAAACCAGAAGCAACCTGGAAACCCCTTAAGAGTCCTGCCAACAGGAGTCTTATGAGTCCCCCTGGACCAAGGCCTCTCATGGGGGTGGGGAGTGACGCCCCCAGGGCTCACTGAAGTCTGGAGACATTCCTGATCCTCTTGACTGGGGAGGGGGGGCGCTGCTGGCTCCCAGTGGGTGGGGACTGGGCTGCTGCTCAGCACCCTGCAGTGCCCAGGGCAGCCTCACACCACAGAGAAGGAACAGCCCCAAATGGCAACAGGGCTATGGCTGGGAAACCTTGCCCAGAACATGCTAAATCCTTGCAGCCCTGAGGGCTGATGTTAGGAGCTAAGGGGTCTGGCCTGGCCTGGACAGCTCCTGGGTGCACTCCCGGGGCAACAGAGGCTGAAGACAGGGCAAGGGGCCCGAGCGAGGTGAGCCCAGCTGCTGCCCCCAGCTCTCTGGGCCGTGACGGAGAGGCCCCAGCACAACACACAGGCCCCGACCCCAAACCGGACAACTAAGCAGTGTGCGCACCGCTGGCTCGCTGCTGCTGCAGTCCCGGGAGGGCTCCCGGCTCTCCGGCCCTCTCCCTGCGATCCTGACACAGACGGACGGACACAGAGATGAGCTGTGGGGGGGGGCTCCTGGGCCCCTGGACTCACCTGTCCGGTGGCCTGGCCTGAGCCATCTGAGCACACAAACTGCACGAACTCCTTCAGCGAGTCCTGCCCGTGGTGGTGGTGGTAGCGGATGGTCGGGTGCGTGAAGTATGGGCTCGACTGCTGGATGATGGATGTGGAGGGGAAGTGCAACGCTGACGCCGTGGCCCGAGGGCTCCCTGCAGGCACGTGGGCAGGAAGAAAGGACGTCAGCGGACAGAAGACAGGGGCACTGCCGGTCAGGGCACCGAGGATTCAGAGGAAAAGGGAGAATGCGCAGGAGCAGGGCCAGGACCAGGGTAAGGAGAGTGAGGGTCCGGCCTCTGGCGCAGAAGTTGAGACAGCGCAAAAAAAACAAAAACAAACTTAGTAATCAAGGTAAATAACATTTTAATGCAATATTAAAAAAAAAAAATCCAGTTGGCAACCAAGGGCCTGCACACCCACCAGATGCTTGTCTTTGTAAATAAAGTTTGATTGGAGCCAGGGCCGGGGTTTAAGGTGAGACAAGCGAGGCAGGGTCAGGCAAGCACAGCGTCAGCCTAGTCTTTTGTTTAAAATGTTCATATTTGCTAACTGTTTATTTTTGCGAAAGTTTTAATTTTTAAAAATAAGGCATTAAAACATCATTTATCGTGACAACTGAGATTTTGGGTGCCCCCTTACATTTCGCACCCAAGGGGAGAGCCAGGGCTGGGATGGGGGCCTGAGACGGGGAGGCGGGGCGGCGACGAGACGCACCTGTGGGGGCCCGGCCTGCACTGCGCAGGGCAGGGACCAGCGGCTCGTCTCCCGCAGGAGAGCGAGAGTGGGCGCGCAGCTGGTCGCTGCTGCCTGGGCCACACTGTTGAGTGCTCAGCCCCATCACACTCGCACATGCGTCCTCGCACACGTGAGCTCACACACACGACTCGCACCCCGGTGCAGGCCCCAGCTCTTCCCAGCCAGCCCTCTCCTTCCCGTCTGTTTCCAATCAGCTCGCTCTTGCTCTCGGTTTCATTAGGGGGCTGAGGAAACTTGGCTTCTCTCTGGAGTTCATAAAAGCTGAGTGGAGCTGGGCCGGCTGCCTCCCGCAGCCAAGGGCCTGGGCTCCCTGCCCCCACCTTCAGGCCACCACACCCTGCCCCAGCGCAGGCTGCCTCCAGGCTCCCCGCCAGGAGGCCCCGAGGAGGAAGCCGGGAGGGTAAACCTTGCTGTTCTCCATGTCCTACGGAAGGGCCCAGGAGATGGTGGGTGGACACGGCTGTGTCCAGAAAGAGTTCAAGCCTCTCTCTACCAGATGGGCGCCAAGATGGGGGCAGATGCAGGGGAGGGAATGGCGAGGCTGAGGACTGAGCTCCCACAACTTCCTGATTCCATCCCCTCAGGAACATCGAGGTGCTCTCCCTGCCAAGTGCTTTCTCTCGAGAACGAGGCAAGAGAGCCCCCAAGTCCGCAGCCAGCTCCATTTCGGGAAGAACAGCCCAGGTGCCACGGGAGGTCCCCGGGTTCCCATGAGTGCTCCTGTCAATCTGTGCCCCACGCCAACCTGCACTGGTGCTGGGAAGCCAGACCCTGGGCTTGGCCAGGAGCTGGGAGAGAACAGCTGAAAGGAGGGCAGAGGGGGAAGCCTAAGCTTTCCCAACTGCAGCTGGAGCGGGGAGAGGGGGACCGGGCAGGCCCGAGGCCTCTGCAGTCAGAGGGCAAGTCAGAGGAGGCCCAAGGACAGGCCTGTGCACACATCCACACACACAAGCATGCGCACACCCGGCCGCACACATGCACCCAATGCATGAGTGCACACGTGCAAGCACACAGCACACCTGCAAGCACGTTCACACGTGCACATCAGGAGCGAGAAGCAAGTGGGAGGATGCTTGGGAACAAAGTGAGGCGGCCCAGCGGCTGGCTGGTTCTCCAGCCAGTGCTGTGGTGGAGGGAGGGCCCATCCCCTTGCCCCCCGCCACTGCCATACCAGAGCCCCCTCAGAGAGCTTGGGGCTGTCGCTCTGATGGGCCCTGACCCCTTCACCTGGCCATCTGCCCCTCAGCGTTCCGCCACCTCCCCCATGGTCCCCTTCTGGGCCCCCATTTCTCACCTGGTCTGACTCCAGCAAGCACAGGCAGCGGGTGGTGAGTGAAAGCCATGCGCGGGGAGCTGCCCTGAGAGGAGAGGGCACTGCAGAAGTCCAGCTTTCCTGACTTCTTTAGAGAAGCCGGGCCTGGGGGGAGGAATCAGCAACACAGTGCAGGTTTAGCTGGGCCAGGGCGGGAGCGGGGAAGGCGGGAAAGCCAGCAGCTCACTCCTCTCCTCGGCCCTCCCGCCCGGCCCCTCGGCTCCTCCTGCCCCCTGGGCCCGCCGCCGGCCTGCCGGGCAGCGGGTGAGTGGGGCTCCGTCTTGCCTCCCCTGACAAGCGGATCCCGAGCTCACGGAGCACAGATGAAAGGGTGGGATGCAGGGCTAGGGGGCCGGGAAGGGCACTGGGGGCAAGAGCTGCCTGGGCCAGGGGCCCCAGAGGCTGCACTGTCGCAGGACGGGATGTTTCAGGGCTTCGTTTTGCTCCCAGTGCCGGAACTGGGGTGGCATTTAGCAGACAGGGGCACAGAGAACACCCCTCCAGGACCCTGATGCTGCCAACCAAGGTCATCTCAGTGCCCAGTGGGCACCACATCCAAACAACACTATGACCAAGCAGGGCCCCAGGGCCAGGTCCTCTGCAGGATCTTGTCCCTTCTCTGGGCTGTGCCTCAGAGGCTGTGCCCAGGCGGGTGGCGGGGGCGTGGGGGGGTAGGGGGCAGGTGGAGTCACAGCAGATCTCTACAGCTGCCATCTTTGAGGCGCAAATCAATAGTTTGGGTGGGGGGTCGGGGGCTGCAGAACAGAGAAATAAGAGCCATTTAAACCACAGAAGGAAGAGGCGGGGGAAGGGCGAACTCCCAGCCGCCAGAAGAGGTGTTATCTGGCGGCAGCTGTGTGCCACCTGATAGCTGGCATGGTGGGGGGGGGGAGCGCCCCCACCAGCTGTGCACAGCTGTCCCCTAGGCCGCACAGCACCTCCCCAGCTGTTCCCTGTCCTGCAGCTGGGCTGCTTAATCGGCGATTTGTCTCAGCACAGGGAAGCAACATAGGAAGGGAGTATGGAGGACAAGAGGAAAGCGAGGAAGCTGGGTGCCGCAGCGGGAGGGTGTCGGGAGCCGTGCGTGCGTGGCAGGGCTGCCGGAAGGAGCAGAGATGGCAGGCTCCACAGCAGACAGCCAAGGAAGGACAGAGCAGGAGCCTAGAGGAGAGGACTCCATGGGAGCCAGGTCTGGGCATAGGGGCCTGGAGGCCACCAGCCATGGTGGATGTATCCATAAGGCACGTGAGGCCTTAAGGAAGCAGTCGCTTAACTGAGACCCTGGGATGGGTGTCTTCAGGGCCTTCTCAACTGCTTCTATACCTCCCAAGGCTCCCCAGGGAAGCATGTGAGCTGTGCTGGCCCATGTCCCCTGCCTGCCTCCAGGAAGCCCTAGGAGGGGCACCCAAATATGTGTGGAGCGATGTCCCCCAGAGGACAGCCTTGATGGCGATCCAGAGCCTGCTCCCTTAGCCCGAGGCCTGGAGGAGAACCCTCCTCCCCTCCTCCTGGGGAGCCAAGAGCAGCAGCCGATTCTGTGTCTGGGGCGGCACCTCCCCACCCTTTGGCCTTGTTTCTTCTCCTGCCCAGCCCCCCGCCCATCCACTTGGCCCTTCCCAGTAGGGCCACATCTGGAAAACACCAGGAAAAGCGCCACTGGGTCCGACCCTCACTTTCCTGCGCCGGAAAACAAAGCCTCAGTCCCCGGGCCTGGGCACAGCAGAGGTGCCTTGTGCTCACGTCACACAGGCGGGCCGTGCTCCCCGGCCCCAGGTACTTGCACCCCCAGGACACAACACAGGCTGCACCACCCGTGTGCCAGGCAGAAGCACCCTGCAGCCAGCCTCCTCACATCTGCACGCGAGTGCACGCACATTCAGGCACACACCTCCTTCTATTCCACCTGGGCTCTCCAGGTCTGCCCACGCCTCCCGGCAAGCCTGGAAGGGACGGCGGCTGGGTTCGCCAGGAAGGGGGCGACTAGAGATGGTCGGGAGGCCTAAAGACAATTCTGCTCACCCTTTACTAGACTCTGCTCCTTTCTGGGAAGCCGAGCCCTTTAAACCAGCAGTTCTCAGCTCAGTCAGCTCAGGAAGAGTCTATCCTCACCCCACCCAGGGGACATTCAGCAGTGTTTGGAGACATTTTTGGCCATCGCACCTGTTGTGGAGGGGTGTGCTACTGGCATCTAGTGGGCGGAGGCCCGGGTTGCTGCTCCACGGCCCACGGTGCCCAGGACGCCTGCCACAGAGCGATCCAGCCCCAAGTGTCGGCGGCGCCCTGTCTGAGCAACTGCTTTAAACCACGAAGACCACAGAGCTGGGGTAACCTTTCTACAGAGATCCCAAGAGAAAAAGCCCACGAAGGCTTCGAAGAGGAGGCCACGGCCACCACTGCAGGGCAACAGGGGCCTCTGCTTTCCCCCTGCCGTGTCAGCGGGCTCTGCTGCCCACGCAGGGCGGCCCTGCTGCTCGCCTCTGCTCCCTTCTCCAGCCTGGACTGCCCTCCGCTGGAGGACCAGGAGGCGAGAAGCCAGGCAGTGCCCGCGGTGGGGGCACCAGTGGGAGAACTGCCAGGTAAACTGAGGGGGAAAAAGAGGTTCTGGGCTGCCCTTGCGCTGGGCCAGGCCCCGTGACGCCCATACCTGCATCCACATCGTTGGGCCACCCGCTGGACTGGCTGCTGCCAGCCGCTGGGGAGCGGCCTGTCCCCGGATAGAAGACATCGTCAACAGGGCTCTCCATCTCGCTGTCATCGATGGACTTGGGGCGCTTGGTGGTGCTGGGAAAGGAGGAGAGGGAGCAGGTGGGCCACGGGCAGGCCGAGGTACTGGGACTCAGGTTGAGGAAGCCTGAGCCGAGGGCCCTCCGTGCTGGGCGCAGGTGCCTACCGACAGCAGCGTCTCTGGGCACTCACTCGTGTCCGCCCCCAGACCAGCCCCGGAGCCCCTTGGGCCCAGCCCGCCTGATCCTCCTCCTCCTCCTCAATCACCTTCTTGGTCCTTGATATCGTCATCTACCGAGCTGCCCAAGTCAAAGAAGTGGGCAAAACCCTCAGCTGCTGCTTTGGCCCCACCTTCTATTTCCCATCAGCCCCCAGGGCCAGGGTGAGGCGACTGAGGAACTCACTGGGGAAAAGAATGCCGGGGGTGCCCCAAAACTCCATCACCGAGACGGTATAGATGTGAAAACGGTATAACATTTTAACGTGATACTTAAACAGATCAGAATGAACACCAAAATTCCTCACAATAAACCAAAACATCCACGTTTTTTAAAAAAGGAACAGGACCCCACCCTGCCCTGCACGACGGACCCTGACAAGGGCCGACTGTGTCCAGCCCGAAACAGCGCTGGATGCCGCCGCCCTTCCCGCTCGTGCCGCTCCCCCACCTCCGGACCCGGGCCTCCCCCAGCCGGGCAGATGGCCTCTACCTGGCCGTTGCCTTGCCCACACATGTTGCTGCGGGAGGCGCTTTCTGAGCCCACACCCCCAGCATCCCCTGCTTAAAGCCCTTCGGTGGGTTTTTAGTCTAAACACCTTGCTCTGGCCTCCGAAACCCCCCATGGAGGGGTCCTGCCAGCCTGTGCGGCCCCCGCTGGGATGGAGGCTGCGCGCTCTGCCTGGAGTGTCCCCCCACGCCCTCCCCAGCACCCTGCAGGCCTGGGCTCTAGCGCCACACTCCCACGAGGGAGACCACCTCAGATTCCCCCTGGGAGCGCCTTCCAGGCAGAGCCATGCCTGGTTCAGGTTTGTGTTCCCAGGGCTGAGTGCCCACGACAACACAAAGCACCAAGTTCAGGGGACGGGGAGCACAGTGGGCCCGGGCAGCCCTGGGGCCAGCACCCTCCACAAGGGGTGACGTTTGGCAGCACCCAGGGAGCTGTAGTGGAGCTGCTCGCAACACCTGAGATGGCTTGGTGGCGGGGGAGAGGGGAGGGGAAGGCGGGGGGGGGGGGTGCTGGGCTTACCTGGTGGAAGGAGGGGAGGTGATGGACCGCCGCCCCAGGGTCACCTGGTTTATGTTGTAGTAGTTGGGACTCTCCAGGTCCGCCAGCGAAAAGTTGGGCCCTGATGCTGTTGCAACAGGAGCTGCGAAGAAGAAGCGAGAGGTGATTAGCCTGGAACGTGCAGGAGGCACAGTGGAGTCTGTTTTGTTGCCACGAGCAGCTCCCCAGAAGCCCCGGGGCAAGGTCACTGTGCGGCCTGCTGAAGAAACCTCCTCCTGGCTGGGGCTCGCTGGAGAGGAGCCCTTAGTTGTGATTTTTCCCCTCAGGCAGAGATCAGAGGTTCAGCTCTCTGGACACCTCTGCTCCACTCAGCCTGGCGCCTGGGAGGCAGGCGATGTCCCGTGAAGCCCTGTCTGTCCTCCGTTCCCCCCCCCCCGCCCCCCACCAGAACCCCCTCAGTAGGTGGCCATCTCCTCAGCCTGTCCCTGCTGACTCAGCCTTGGCCGGGAAGAGAGGATTCACTTACTCTGTGATACTCTGACCAGCTCCGTCACATTCCAGACCCCGGAAGTCACAAAACAGTCCTGGAAACTTAAGTGCCCTGAGGAGGGAAAAGAGCCAGTGAGGGAGTGGAAGCAAGGCCAGGAGGGGCTGCCTGCCTGTTTCCTCAAAGCTCTCCCACCTCCCCACTGCTCGCTCCCAAGGCCCCGGCTGGCCCTCAGGTCTACGAGGAAGGGGGGTGTGCTCCAGGTGAGTCCCCTCCCCTCCCGCTGGCAGCCAAAGTTCAGTTAAGGGACAACTGAATAAAAGGGGAAGAACTGGTGGAAGATTGGGGGGCGGGGGTTGGGGGCAGGACAGGCCGGGAGGCTGTAGGCAGGAGGGCAGGCGGGCTGGGGGAACTGACCATTGGGCAGTGGTTTGATGTCCGCATCTCCTTGCTGGTTTGAACTATCTGATTGTCCGGATTCTGCAGGAGACACAAAGGAGAGGATGGGTCAAAATCAAAGCGCTCCGCAATAGCTACCTCTCCAGCCCTGTACACACACACCTTCTCCCTCCCTCCAGGAGCTGCCCAGGGAGACTCAGGAGACCGGAAGAGGGAGAAGAAACTCCTGTGGTGGAGATTCCTGGGCACTGCAGGGCATTTGGCAGCATCCCTGGCCTCCACCCACTAGATGCCAGTAGCACCCCAGTTGTGACAAGCAAAACCATCTCCAGACACTGCCCGATGTGCCCTGGGGACAACGTCCCCAGTGGGTGAACAGCACTGGCTGAGAGTCAGGGCAAGAAGGGCATCTAGGGGAGAAGCCAGAGACCACTGCACAGCTGGGGTGGACCCGAGGGCTCCCCATCTTCCACCGCCTCAAGCGCCCAGAGAAGCAGCCCCTTCCTTCCCTCACTTCATTAACTGGAGCCTTTCCTGCCTTCCTGAGCCACCCCCACCTCACCTTTATGCTCACAGGCAGTGCCTGGCAACACGGAGGGGGGAGGCCTGCCCTGACGCCGTTGCCCGCTCTGTGCCAGCCTGTCTGGGCTGTCTCATGCCCCAGTGCCACAGCTGCTCAGAGGGAGCCCCGAAACAAGGGCCCATTGTGCAGTGGGAGCTCGCAGAGGGCTGGGGGCAGGGTGGAGTGTGTGTGTGAATATTTTGCCGAGCTTGGGAAAGCCCCCCGCCCCCACCCCCCAGGTCCTCAAAGCTTTGTGTGCTAGGGGCACAACGGGGCCCTCCAGAATGCCTGCCTGGGCACGACAGCTGGTGACAGGGTGGCGGAGGGGGGCCTAGGCAGGATGTGGGGCAGGAGGAAGGCAGGCACTTGGTAAAGAATCAGCTGCTCGCAGGGGGACCACATGAGGGTGGCATTGGAAAACTGGGCACTGGTGTTGGCCAGGCCTTGGAGCGATCCTGCCTCCTGGTCGCACCCACCACCCTGAGATCAGCCTACTGTCTGGGAATCTGCCCCCCACCAGCCTTGCAGCTGAGCTGCTCGCACTGGGGAGGAACCAGCGAGGAGATTCCTGAAGGGCAGCGTGGGCCCCCACTGGCTGGCAGAACAGCAGCCTTCTCAGAGCAAGGGCCCCATCATGGCTCAAGCCATTTCCTGGGAACCTGCCTCACTATGGGGGGTGGGGGGAGGAGAGGCTGCCCCCCGCACGGTTTCGGGCCCCGCTCCCCCCATCCTTTACTTTGTTAGATTTCTTTTTAATGCCAAAAAATAGTAACAAATCTTGTCATAAATCAAGAAAACAGAGGCTTAAAGGAGATGGCTAATGGGTTCCCCTCACGCCTTCCAGAGTGGGGTTCTTCTTTCTGCACCGCCCTGCGCACTCGCACGTGGAGATGGCGAAGCCCGGCCGGGCCGCCTCCTTGTTAGTGGCACTCTGTTCTGGAGAGAGCTCGCGAGATCGCCTCCGAAGTTCTCGGGAGGGCATGTGCCCTCTGTGCCATGGCATCCTATGGGTGTGAATCTCCTGTCACTCTGTCACCATTCCTGGCTCTCTAGGTCTGTTTCAAGCCCCCGGCAGGCCCGGAGGGAGCAGGGAAGGGGCCAAGGCAGCAGGCGGCCCACCCTAGGGCCTCCCTGGACCCATACTTTGGGCCTGCTCCCTCTCAGGGCTGCCCTTGCCCCCGTTACTAACTCAGGAAGGCCAGAGCCTCAGGACCCCCCTGGGGAGCCCCGCAAGGGGCACATGCTCTAGCCTCTGCTGCCCAGGGGGTCCCGGCTACCAGCCCCACCTGTCCTGGGACCAACTCAGTCCCCACCAAGCCCCGCAGGCCTGGGTCAGTGAAGTGGGGGAGACAGAGGAGGCCCTGGATACCCGCCCCCCCCCCCCGGCAGGACTGGTCCTGGCTCCCTGAAAATGGCCCAGTGGAGAAGGAACGCTTTGCGCATGCACACTCCCAGCCCAGGGACACAAAGACGAGAGAGAACCCGACAAAGAGATGGAGGTGGACCAGTGGCTGCGGCAGACAAATGGGGCTACGGGCGAGCGCCGCAGACAGGAAACCCTTCGAAACCAGGACACTGCCCCAAACGTTATTGCTGTTATTCCTATTAGCTCCACGCAGAGAAGCGAGCAGGCACGCCGACCCGCGCGGGCGAGGCTGCTGCCACGCGCCTCCGCGCGCCGCTCCGGGCGCTGCTGGCAGCCATTTTAGCCCTTGGCAGCCATCTTACGCCTGGCGCCCCACAATGCCACCACCTCCGGCCCGGCAGGCTCCGCTCCGCTCCAGGACAAAAGGCAGAGACGCTGGAAATCTGGACCCAGGCTCCGAGGCACAGAAGCCAGCCCTGCAGCCGGGGCAGCTGCGGCCTGGGCCCCCGCCCTCCTGCTCGGCGGCACAAGCGCCTACCTCCCAGCCAGCACCGCCGCGCGGAAGGGACAGGGAGGGCTGAGGCCAGGGGCCTGAGGGTACCGCGCTCTGCTCAAGGCCCTGAAGCCCCCACGGGCCGTCCCCAGGCCCAAGGGCTCCACTAGTTTTTCAAAAGGGGACCCCTGCCCCAACAGGGCAGTAAGTGATGGGAGCAGGCCTGTGCCCCCCGCCCCCCAAAGTCAGCTCAGGACTGTGTCTTGGACAGATGGGGGAGGGGCTGGCAGGGGCCCAGCCGGTGGCTGCTGGGCCCAGACGGACTGCTGGGCCCGCGTGCACAGGCCCCGGGGAGGGCCAGGGGACACCCGCCCCACCCAGAGGTGGGGGCCAGCTTTCTTACACAAGGGGCTCTTTGGGAGCCATGCCCTGAAACCAGGGCCTGCTCTGGACAGCCCCCGGGGAGCACACAACACCCCAGCACCTGACTCCCTTCTGTCTGGGCTCCCTGGGGGAGGGGATAACCCCAGGCCTCAGGACAGACAGGAGGAAGGCCCCAGGCCCCGCCTCATGGCTGCTCAGCTTTTATCTGGCAGAATGGGGCTTATCAGAACCACCAGCTGAACAAACACACAAATCCACGGTTAGTGAGAGAAAACCCTCTGCCTGAACTCTTTATCTCCTGTTCGCAGGCCCCACGCACTGCCCCCTGCCAACAGCACAGGGGGAGACCCGGCTGCCGCGCGGTGGGGGCCCCTCTCCCCACGCCCCCCCTTGTCCCTGACCCAGCGCCGGGTGGCTCTCCTCCGGCAGCCCCTGCCAGGCCGGCGTGCATGAGTGAGCTCCTGCCGCACGGACCCCCCTCCAGTGTCTGCTTTCTCACTGGGGACAATGGGCCAGCTGGTGGCCTGCGGGCCAGTGGAGAGGCAGGACGGTGTTGGCTGGCACAAGGCGGGCAGGTGCCCGGCTCCGTCTTTTATTCTTTCCCGCCCAGCCTGCATCCCCGAGACTGTCACTCTGATCCCTCAGCCTTTCAGGGCCACATCCCCTGGCAGCCTTTCCAGCCTCGGCCTTCTCTCTGGCCTGGTCATCAGAGCCGCGGGAACCCTAAGCACATACCCCCAGTTCAGGGCCACCCTGACAGAGGCCAGCACAGAAAGCCGGACCCCCCTCCCCCGCCCCCGCCTGACCCTCTCTCCAGAGACTACAGCTGCCCTAAATTCCTGGGGACGCTGGAGACAGGACAGAGGGACCAGGGGCACTGTTACCTCTCCTCGGCCGCACGACAGCATGTTTCCCTCTTTCCCGTGCTGAGGACCAGAGAGCGCCATCTGCGCTCTAAGCATCCTCCCACGGTGCCCGTCCTAGGAGGCCTCCTCAAAACCAAGGCCGGCCAGCATGTCCGCGGATGGATGCCTGGGCGGGCAGGCAGGCATCGGGGCCCCTGCCCCGGGCCAGGTTTTGGGATGGAGAGAATTTTGGAGCCCACGGCTTGGTCTGGATGTTGCCGGAGGTCAGGCTAGCTTGTGCTGCACACAAAAGCATGCTCTGCTGACTGTCCTCCACCTGTCCTCCTCTTGGGGCCTGGGCTACTCCTGTGATCCACATCTCCAAGGCACAGGCCTCGCCTGCCAGTGGTGCCTGGGGTCTCTGGCGACCCAGAAGGCTCCCAGAAGTGAGAACTATGCAGGAGAAGGCGACGAATCTGGACTGCCTGAGGGTGGGCCCACGTGAGCTCCCCAGAGCAAGGCTCTGAAATTGGAGGGACTGTTCCCCATTTACCTGCACACATGTCAGTGGTCACCCCGTGTCAATGGCCTGTGGACTGGCAGGCAGCCTGGTTCAAGGACCCTGGCCTGGGCGAGGCTCAGCTCATGGTTGGCAGTGTGGGCCCCTCTCTTCCTCAAGTCCCTCTGTGTCCCTTGGCGCCAGCAGTGCCCCCAGTGCTGTCCTCCTTACCCTCCATCAGCTCTGCCTTCTCAGCCCTTGATGCTCCCAATTTCTTTCATTCAGCTCTTAGCCTTCCTCCCTGGCATCTGTTGTCTTGATTCTGCATCCCTCTTTCTGTCCTTCCTTCTCCTTCACTTCTCTTCTCTCCAGCCCCATTTTCTATTCTGATCCTGCCTGTTTGCACACGTGTGTGTACGTGTGCGCACACGTGTGCGTGTTTCCAAGAGGGCTCTGCCTCTTCCTCGGAGTTCTGGAGGGGGAAGCTCCAGCTGCCAAGAGGAGCTGGGTGCTACACATGAACCCGACTGACAGCATGTTTTTATATATATTTTTTCCAGTCACAGGCAGGGAGATATTTATGGCTCCTGCTAGGTGAGGGAGGAATTCCTGCATGCTGCAGCGAAGAACACTGCCTCAGCTCCCGCCGGACACACACTCTGAGAAAAGGCCATATGTAGCTCACTGGCCGGCTGCCCCCACGCGCATCACTGATGGAGGGAGTTCCTCAGCGTTGAGGGGCACACAGACCTGGCTCAGCCACACCCACACACGCGCACCCAAGCGCGTGCACACGCCCAGGCCCACACAACTTGGAGATGCCTCCAGCCCCATCCTGCCGTCCTGCAGGGGTGCAGTGAGCGGCGCACCCAGAGCTGTGGTCCCACACTGCGCCCAGCACACACTGCGCTAAGCACCAGGCCAGACAGAAA